CCCAAAATGCATGGTTAGATGGCCTGTGGACTGCTGCCTAAGAAGTTAGGGTCTGGGAACAGCAGGGTCTTTGTTTCCTGGGACACCGCTCCAGACATCCTTTATCTCTGCCTTTCCACTTAAATAAACGTTGAATAAATTTTTCAAGAATACTGTTTTGAAGGGAACCAAATTACTAGTTGGAACAGAGAGCGCAATTATTAGCCTATTAAAGGCGTCCACATGTTATCAGCCCCTTGTATTACCAAGTTGAGTAAAAACGAATCTAACAGTAACCAGAGCCAGACAGTCCAACGACCTCTCTCTGATAGTCTCAGATGGTCCAAGGGCACAATTTAGACGATCAGCCTACCCTTCAGGCAACCATCCAAGGACATTATTTCCCTTAACTGATAAGAATAGGGCAGCAAAGAGTTTGGAGTTACGTTTTTTTGGTGAATGACTATTCTTCGTGCTGCTGATCACGGACAGATTCACGTGCCTGATACTTAGTGAATCAACTGAGAGGTGGGCAGGGTTGACATTTTCTTATTAAAAGCAAGGAACCCAACCAGGACTAACCAACCACATTTACCTAGAGATGGACCGAGGGAGTCCTTGTGAACAGTGCTAAGATTTTCCCTAGAAAACAGCTCTGGGCCTATTTTTACAAGGGTAATTGAAGCTTAAAATTCATCATCATGAGGGGGTTCCAAAAGTTTTAACCTAAAAATATTTCAAACCAGGAGCTGGGAATCATCAACCCTAGATAAACAGGGGAGAACTATCCGCAAACTAATTTTAATCACTGTAACTTCCTGGAGAATATCTAACATAAATTGGCTTTTTTTCCTGTTTCTTTCATAGGCTCACATTGCTTCTGGATCTTCTTAATTATCCATATTCTCTAAGTGAGCGTTCTGTCCTTGGGTCCCTTAACGCTACAACCTGGGGAGATCTCACCCAAATTCACTGCCCTACTCTGCCATTTGTTTGGTGAGGACACCCAATCTGTATCTCTACACTGACCTTTTTTTGGGCTAATAGACCTGTATTACCCATACATTCCTGGATATCTTTCCTGAAGGTCTCTCAGATGCCTTAATGTTACAGACATTCCCCATCCTCCTGACAATCTCTCCAGAAACCTGGGAGGTAATTAGGATTCCTTCCTTTCCCGCTCTGTCCACACCAATCTCTGTACCTCACTAATTTCATATCTAAATAGGTCTCGAGTTTTTTCCTTTTTTTTTTTTTTTTTTTTGTGGTTCGCGGGCCTCTCACTGTTGTGGCCTCTCCCGTTGCGGAGCACAGGCTCCGGACGCGTAGGCTCAGCGGCCATGGCTCACGGGCCCAGCCGCTCTGCGGCATGTGGGATCTTCCCGGACTGGGGCACGAACCCGTGTCCCCTGCATCGGCAGGCGGACTCTCAGCCACTGCGCCACCAGGGAAGCCCAGTTTTTTCCTTTTTATACATGGTACCTGCCTCATCATTTCTTCACTAGGCGATTGCAAGTCTCTTGTCATACACATTTGTCTTGCTCTTCCCCAAACTATCCTCCACACTAAAGTCAGAGTTAAAAAATTTTTTTTTCTAACAGTTAATTTTTTCAACTCTGTAATATATGCATAAAGTTTAAAACCAAAACGTTACAAAAGAGTACATAGGGAAAAGTCTGCACTTTGCACCTGACTCTCAGTCACCCAGTTTGCCTTCCCAAAGGCACCCATAGCTATCAATTCCCTTGGTAAAGATTGTATTTCCAAAAGGCATCTACTTCACATCTTCCCATGGCTCACCACTGTCTATAAGAAAATGGTGAAATTGAGAAGCCCATATGGGGCCTCTCAGGGTTTTGTCCTGTTTCTCTCATTTCTTCTAGTCAGTCCCTCTATCCATCCAGATTTTGTCTGCTGTAAGCATTTTGCTCTTCCTTAAAAAGTCTAAGGCTTCCTTCCCTCTGTGATTCTGTATATGCTGTTTCTCTCACCTGGGATGCCTTCCCCAAGTTCCTTCATCCCCCATGCCACCCTTTTCTTTGAGTACAAAGTACTCTTAATACTCCTCTAAATATGTTCAATTTTAAAAGACTTTGTGGACCTCTGCAGATAAAGGTTATGCCCTTGTCTCATGAAGCCCTTTTAGGACCATATGTATATATATTTTTATTATAGCACCTATCACATTGCTTGGCCATGTCAAAGGCAGTACTATGTTCCTTTGTTCTTTGAGTCCTCAGAGTTTAGCAGTCTGCCTAATACCTAGTTGTTGTTGAATAAATACTGAATATTAGTTACAATGTAACTACTATTAAGGATATATTAGGCTGATTAATAGCAACACAGTACTTAAAATTTTTAGTTCTGGCCACCACATATACAGATAGATGTTGAGGAAGTATAGCATCTCCCTGACAATGTATGGTTTACTAACACTGTGATGGCCTTAACAAGAAAAGACTAACAGGGTGCACAGCTCCCTCAGAATCTCTGAAGGGCTAAAGAGGAAGCAGCTGACAACAAACTAGTGAGTTTCCCCATGAGACCAGAGGTTCTCCACCACAGTGTTCGGTCATCTTGGTTTGTCTTCATCAGTGCTGAAAGGTATTGTAACTTATTTGTGCTAATAAAAGTTAAAGTACTGAAATTTGAAAACAATTCACTTTTCTCCCCTCCTAAACTAGACTGGATTCGAGGTTACTTCTACAAAGTCACTCCTGCCCACTTTTATTCCAATATACTTTGTTGAGATAGGGGTCCAACTGATGGGTCCGGAAACTGGGCATAAGTCACAGTTTACCTTATCTTTACTTCCCCCCCGGAAGAATGCTAAACATGTGAATATTATCTATTGTGGGGTTGGGGGGATACAGAGAACTGCCCTCCTAGATTATGAGCTTCTCCAGGGTAGGGACCATGACTTTTCATTTTGTGTCTACCCATAGTGTCTGGGTGGAAGAAAATGTGACAAAAACTTTTAAAAAGGACTGAAGGAAAGAGAAAAAGCAAAGGAATAAAGGAGGTTTATCATTTACTTTCTTAGAAATTGTTAATTGAATTCCATTTTAACTCAGCATAAGAAACAAACAAACAAAAAACAGCAATAAAAGCTGCTTAGGGACTTCCCTGGTGGCGCAGTGGTTAAGAATCTGCCTGCCAATGCAGGCCACACAGGTTCGAGCCCTGATCCAGGAAGATCCCACATGCTGCAAAGCAACTAAGCCTGTCCGCCACAGCTACTGAGCCTGCGCTCTAGAGCCCGCGAGCCACAACTACTGAGCCCTCCTGCCACTACTGCTGAAGCCCGTGTGCCCAGAGCCCGTGCTCCACAGCAGGAGAAGCCACCAAAATGAGTAGCACGTGCGCCGCGGTGGGGAGTGGCCCCCTGCTCGCCGCAGCTGGAGAGAGCCTGCGCGCAGCAAGGAAGACCCAACACAGCCCCAAAATAAATAAATTAAAAAAAAAAAAGCTGCCGAAACTCACATTACAAACAGTAAAGGTTAAGAAACAAAAGGTTAAGAAACAACACTGCCTACCCCTCAAATATCTCAGTAATCAAAGATTTCTTAACTTTTTGGCTCTTCAAAATATGTGCAGTCCATAATACAGTAGGAAGTGATTATCTATCCAAGGCTAGTTGTAAATGTCCTCTGATTATCTGATGTAATTCTAAGCTCAAAGGCTTTTGCCTCTCCTGCAGTACCTTGCTTGGAACAAAGCTGTGCTTAATGCATATTACTTTTATTTCATAAATATAAAGTATATAAAAACCAGAAGAGTTGAGTAACTTTCACTGGGAAGGAAAAAGGTAACATTTTTAGTGTTTTTCTTTTTTATATTATTTTCATGAAGAGTCTAACTCTGCCCATTGACACCTGTCCAAATGCTATGACACTGCAAAACTGAGATCACATAAACTTTTTTTGGACACTTGATTTTGCCCATGTTAAAGGAATATAATTGAGTAACACACTCACTTAAAATTCTATTACAAATAAGCATACTTTCTCTACTCCCCCTGTGATATGCCATGATACCATCTGTATAGACTAACTTTTACTCACTGAAAGTACAATAAATATTTGTCGATTGATTTGGTTGATGCAACTGTAAGCCTTGTTTTCAGTTCAAAGTCTACGTTTTACTGGTAATCTAAAAATATTAATTCCTATACATCCAAATGTCTGGGTAGCATCCTGCTTCCCGAACACACACACATTCACCCTTAACCCCAACCTGCTCCTTCCTCAGAGCTTGTTGTGGGGATAACATTTCAGGAGGGCATCCAGCAGGAGGAAAGACCAACATCTCTCGCTTCTTGAGCTGTCGAGGTGCCCAATAGCAACTTAGTGGCTCAAAGTAAAAAAGAGCAGCGCGGGTGGCAGGTGGGGTGGAGGAAAAGGAAACTTCATCAAAGATGCAAGTGACAACTCCCAGGGGCTTATAGATTCCATCCGAACAGGAAAAATGAAAAGGTTAGAAAACAGTGGCAGGGTGGTGTCTCCAGCCATGTTTCAATTCACGGTGCACTGATAACAAGCCACATATCTGCCTTACCCAAGCAACTTCCCCAGTGCCCATCTCCCCACCTTGGCATAAGAAGGGGAGCGGGTCCCCACGACTCCGGAGTAATAATTAGGGGAGACCACTGCCTGTAGAGACTCCGCCAGAGGAAAGGAGCCGAGGGGCTGCGGCCCTTCTCTGCAATCCAGGAAGCCCCCTCCCGCGCGCAGGTTGGCGGGCGCCCGATGCCGCAAGGATGCAGGGCATGGAGCGAGGTACCGGGGCCCCTCCCAGAGACCCCCGCCAGCCCCGCCAGGGGGAGCGTCTGCGCCCGACGGCCGGCTGCGGGGACACGGCTGACGGCGCAGGGCGGTGGCTCGGCTACGCGGCTCCCCTCCCACGTCCCCACCCTCTCCCCGCCCGCCCCCGGCGCGGCCCTGCCCGCCCCCTCCGCCCCCTCCCGCGGCGCCATGCGCAGACTCAGTTCCTGGAGAAAGATGGCGACAGCCGAGAAGCAGAAACACGACGGGCGGGTGAAAATCGGCCACTACATCCTGGGAGACACGCTGGGGGTCGGGACGTTCGGCAAAGTGAAGGGTGAGGACCTCCGGGGCAAGGCTCGGCCCCAGCCCGGGATCCGAGTGACTTCCGCCTTTCGCATCTCTTCATCCTCCCCCGCCCCTTGTGTTCCTCGTCCCCAGGGCTCGGCAGTCCCTGTCCAGGCTCCGGCCGGAGTAGAGCCGGAGGCCACGGCGGGACTGCGGAGCGGCGCCCCCTGGGAGGGCGGGGGTGGGGTGGGGACTGGTCGCCATGGCGACGGTGCGACGGCCGGAGGGGCTCGTCCGTGCGAGGGGCGGGGATGCAGAGGTGCGAACTTTCCCAGGCCTGACGGTCGGGGGCTGCACTACTCGCTCCCTTAGCTGGGTGGGGGCGCCGGGGTCTTGGCCGGGAACCCTGGAGAGGCGGCCCGCCGTTCGTCCCAGCTGTGATCCCTCGGCTCAGGGCCAGCCCATCGGTTCCCTGGCCGTCCTCGGCATTGTCCATATTTCCGTCCTCTTCAGAAGGCTGTTGACTTACCTGCCCTGGCTGATTCTCAAGTGTGAAATGTGTTCCCCCGAAGTAAGGTTGCTTTGGGGAGTAGTTTACAGAGTTTAAAAAAAAAAAAAAAAAAAGGCCATTTTGTCGGAAAGGATAACTAATTTTTTTCGGAGCAGTTAATGAATATAAACTGGTATTGTTTATATATTTGCGATCCTTGATTTATGGTCTGAAAGCAGACGCCGTGCCTTCCGTGTTTCTGAATTACCAAACCTGGTAGGCAGTGCAGATTTTGCTTCCAGATAGTGTTTATTAATTCACTGATGCAGTTAGTTTCCGTTTATTTTCACAGGATATTTATATTTTAATTAATAGTTTTATGTACATTACTTGAAAAAAATTTTTTTTAAAGAAAAGTGGAATCGCTTACCCTTGTGTTTCAATACAGTATTCCGGAAATAACAAACTTGCTCTCCAGTCCACCAATGCTGGCACAAAAAGTTTAATTGGAAATTTTGTGAGGCATAAATATTTTTTCCTTCAAAATATTTGACTTTATTATTAGGGATGTAGAGGAAGGAAGTATGGAACTGATAAAAATAATTCATGCATTGGCTTTGGATAAATAGCCTGTGACTTGCATATACTAAGCTCTTGGTAAATATTTGACTTGAAAGAGAAAAAAGTTTGTGAAAGTCTATGCAGTGAATTAACTAACTGAGCCTTGCTCTATCGGAGCTAAATAAACATTTTCTGATTTTATCTAGGGATGGAAGAGGAGAGCCCTTCCTTCTCTTGCTCTTTCTGAGTCATAGAACTGGAAAATTGCTGTATAGCCCACAGGGAAGCAACTGCCTAAACCTTCTTAAGAAAATCAGCAAGGCCAACAATGTAAGAAAGTAAGAAGCAAATGCCAGAATAGGGTAATAACAGCCATTAGGGTGGGTCTGTATTAGGCCAGTAAGATGTTTCTGTGCTTCTGAAGTTATTTATTTTTGGCGATGTTGTCTCTTTACTTGTTAGCAATTACAAACTTTCAGTTTATAAGTATTTGTAAGAAATACTCATTAATGCCACCCAAATAGTAGTAACAGTTTTGATGCCTTCACCCCTCCCAGAGTTCTGTTTGGATTAGGATACTCATTGTTTTCCTAATATAGACCTGAGCAGAGTCAGGTCTCACTTTCTTATTGGCTAGGTGGCTTTTGGCATGGCAGATAGGAAAGCAAGAGGATATTTCTCATTTCCTGGGTTTGATTTGTGATGTGGCTGTGCCTTGAATCCCTCCAGTGACTGCTATTCCTTAACCTTCGCTCCTCCACGTGTACTTCTCTTGAAATACCACACACTGTCAAAGTCAACAATTTCTCCAAATATAGAAAGGCCAGTATTAGTCAAAGGATCATAGGTTTTATAGATATGGTTCATTTGTTCATAAATACATTAATTGATGGTGGTCAAAATCTTCAACCAGTGCATTTTTTAAAGTTGTTAAACAGTTGGGATGCTTTCTGCCCCAAATAAGAAAATCCAACTCAGCCTAGCCAAGAATATCTCTTTCTGTGGTTCTCTGTCCAGAGCAAGGAAGCCCCAGCATAGCCCTCATGAGTCTCATTGGCTCAATCAGTCCCTCTGGCCAGGGATACCATGTGCTAACTGGCTTAGGCTTGTGTTCCTATAAGTAGGCATTAGCAGGATAGATGGTATTACCCTTAGAGGAATATGGCCCACTCCTGGACGTGTGTGTGTCGGGGGGGACATCTTCTTCTGAAGTACTTGAATAGTATGGGGGGCAGAGTAGATACCTACACAGAAATGGGTTTTTTTTAGAAGAGAGGAAGGGGGACATAGCTGCCCAGTGAGCAAGCAAAAATAGCCACTGTAGTGGTGACGATGGTAACTTACAGTAGCCAAGAATTTGACAAGAATTCTTATAAATTATATGATTAGCCACATATTTCAATGGAGACAATTTGGATTAGCTAGAGGTTTTAAAATTAGTCATACACATTGCTAAATTTAACATAGAAAAGGAGTCTAATAGAGGATGTTATACAGATATGCAGAAAGATTCCCGATATGGTATTCCATCTTATAGGAAACTTATTGGGGGGGGGTGCAGAGAGGACTTTAAATTCATATGAATTATTTTGTTTCTTGTTACAGGTTTAAAAAAGATCCTTTGGTAATTTAATGGTAACATTTTGAGGGGAAACTTTAAATAGACAACTAGGGTTAGTTTGGGATTATGCTTGAATTATCTTATTATTTCCAAGATACTTTTTTCTTCCCCCCCCCCCCCCCCCCGGTTGTCAAGGTGTTAGTCTCCACTCCCTTGTGGGGTCTACTCCTCTTTCCTCCCAGAACAATTATAAAAGCATGGATGAACAGAGTCATGTTACTACTGCAGTAAATTTAAATGACAGTTTTTGTTAGTTTTCCAAAAGAAGATGCCTCTTTAGTAGGGTGGGTAGTCTTTGGCAAATGAGTTGTTTATACATACAATCTATTTATTAATTTGGTGAGTATTTCTATATAAAACTGCAATTTAAGATAAATAGGTGACTCTTTGAATGAATCAAAGAAGTTACTTAAAAGCTTCTTTAAGTAAAAAATCGATATGTGAATTAGAGCTATATATATCAGCATGGGTGAATTTCAAGTATATAAGGTTAGGCCACAAAAACAAGAAGTTGAAGAATATATATAGTCATGTTATTCATATAAAATTTAAAAACATGCAAAAACACTCATGCATTACTGGTAGGAGTACAAATTTGTACCACCTCTACAGAGTATGACAGTATTTATTAAAGTTAACCCAGCAATTCAACTTCTAGGAATTTATCCTATAGGTGTACGAAATAATGAGTTATTCATTATCATATTGTTTATAAATACAAAAGATTGAAAGTAACCTTTCTAGTAGGACAGTAGTTAAATTATGGTTTATCCATAGTGGTATACCTTGCAGATATTAGGAAAAAAGGGAAAAAAAGCAAGCGACTTCATATAATACAGGGAACAGTTTCCAATGTGGTTTTTTTGGGGGTTTTTTTTTGCGGTACGCGGGCCTCTCACTGTTGTGGCCTCTCCCGTTGCGGAGCACAGGCTCCGGACGCGCAGGCTCAGCGGCCATGGCTCACGGGCCCAGCTGCTCCACGGCATGTGGGATCTTCCCAGACCGGGGCACGAACCCGTGTCCCCTGCATCGGCAGGCGGACTCTCAACCACTGCGCCACCAGGGAAGCCCTCCAATGTGTATTTTTAAGAGGAAAAAATAAGGGGATAGTAGAACAAAGTATATAGTATTCCTACCGTTTGTGTATAAAGAGCAGGGACAAATTAAAGTAAGTGTAACTGCTTGCATATGTATAGAGTGTCTCTTTAAAGATACACACAAAACTGTTACATTAGTTGTTCAGGGGAGGGGAACTAGGTAGCAGAGGGACATGTCACTGTATATCTTTTTATAGTTTTGAATTGTGTAGTGCAGGTATTATGTATTCAAAAGAATATATAAAATTAAATTTGTAAAATAACCATATGAAAAACATTGTTACTGGATCATTTATGGATTCATACCTGTGGGAAAGACAAACACCACATTCAAGATAGTGGTAACCTCTAGGGAGAGAGAAAGGAGAAAGGAATCTGGGAGGAGTCAGACTGGGCTTCAGTTGCATCTGTAATGTTTTACTGCTTAAGCTGCTGTTGGGTGGAACATGGGTATTTGGCTTGCCTTTTGGGATGCCTGAAATGTTTGGTTAAGGAAAGGTACCTTTCTCACATTTCCACCTATAGCTTTTAAAACTCATCTCTCTCTAGGATTAAGTTATTTCCCTGATACTTTTAGCAGTGAGATTTTTTTTTTTCAATTTTAGAGTGAGAATGAAATAGTTGGGTGATTAGAATATCTTTATAAATATTTCCATCTTTGTGGCGTCTCTTTATCAGTATTTAAAATTCTCTCTTTCAAAGTATGATCTTGTTTTACTTCAACCACTGCGCCACCAGGGAAGCCCAACATATTTTAAAACTTTTGAGGGAAAAACCTGTATCCAATTAAGACTGGGAAATACCAGGTTAAACGTTTGATAGGTTTCTTTACGGCAGGGCTCTTTAGAGCCATTACTATATTAATATGTGTAATGAGTTTCCAAAAGGGAGAGCAGACATCCTTTCCCAGACTCCTTGATTATGAAATCTTTTTCTGTGGAGAGTCTCCAGTCCTAGTGTTTTGTAGAGCATACTTTAGAAAGTCTATTCTAATAATTTTAGTTTTATGATTTTTTCTAGCCCATAGAAACTTAGAATCCTGAAATTAGAACATTAGAGAGGAGGCTGTGAGTTGACTCCTGATAGGCTGTGAAGGATGAGACACAAGCAGAAAACCCTAGGAGCTGGAACATAATAGTCTGGGAGCAAGAAGTAACTCCCATGGATGTCACTGTGTGAGGGCATAGGGAGTAACTGATGCTCATACAAGGTAAACATTTGCTTGGTTCCCCGTCATCACTGTGTTCCATTTAAGAATTCTTGGATGGGACTTCCCTGGTGGCATAGTGGTTAAGAATCCGCCTGCCGAGCAACTAAGCCCACGCTCCACAACTACTGAGCCTGTGCTCTAGAGCCCGCGAGCCACAACTACTGAGCCTATATGCTGCAACTACTGAAGCCCATGCGCCTAGATCCCGTGCTCCACGACACGTGCACCGCAATGAGAAGCTCGCTCACTGCAATGAATAGTAGCTCCTGCTCGCCACAACTAGAGAAAGCCCATGTGCAGCAACGAAGACCCAACACAGCCAAAAATAAATAAATAAAATAAATAAATTTATAAAAAAAAAAAAAGAATCCGCCTGCCAATGCAGGAGACATGGGTTCAATCCCTGGTCCAGGAAGATCCCACATGCCGTGGAGCAACTAAGCCCGTGCGCCACAACTACTGAGCCTGTGCTCTAGAGTCAGTGCTCTGAAGCCCACATGCCTAGAGCCCGTACTCTGCAACAAGAGAAGCCACCACAATGAGAAGCCCACGCACTGCAACGAAGAGTAGCCCCCGCTCGCCGCAACTAGAGAAAGCCTGCGTGCAGCAATGAAGACCCAACGCAGCCAAAAATAAATAAATTTATTAAAAAAAAGAATTCTTGGACATGTGTAGTTCAGTTTAGAAAACCTGTTTTCAAAAAAGATTACTTTTGTTAACTTGTTGATTTTAATGGTGAATATTATAAACCTATCAGTTTCCTAGGGCTGCAGTAACAAAGTGCCACAAACTGGGTGGCTTAAAACAACAGAAATTGTTTTGGAGTTCTGGAGGCCATAAGTCCGAAATCAAGGGTTTAGTAGGGTTACACTCCCTCTGAAGGCTTTAGGGGAGAATCTATTTCTTGCCTCTTCCAGCTTCTGGTGGCTCCTGGTGTTCCTTGGCTTGTGGTAGCAAAGCTCCATTCTCTGCTTCTCTTCACATGGCCCCATTTGTGTGTGTGTGCCTGTGTTCTCTCCTTTTCTTATAAGGACACCAGTCATTAGACATAGAGCCCACCCTACATCTAGGATGATTTCATCCTGAGATCCTTAACTAAGTACACCCCCAAAGACCCTACTTCCAAATAAGATCCCATTCTGTGGATATAGTAGACGTGAGTTTGTGGGGAGGGGGACACTTTTCAACCCACTGCACTTGCCATTACAGTTTATGTGCTTTTATTTGTTTATTTATTTGGCCGTGGTGCACAGCTTGCGGGATCTTAGTTCCCTGACCAGGGCTTGAACCCAGGGCCTGAACCCAGGGCCTGGCAGTGAAAGCCCTGAGTCCTAACCACTGGACCGCCAGGGAAATCCCTATGTACTTTTAGTTTTATGTTCTTAATTTCTCCCTTATGATGCAGTCATC